TAGCAGCTGGTCTTGTTACTCCTGTACCCATGGTGCCAGTTAAATCACCATTCCCAACGTGGTACAACCCACAGGCAAGATGTGAATACCATAGTGGAGGTGTTGGACATGATCTTGAAAATTGTCTAGCTTTAAGGCACCGTGTGCAGGATTTGATAGATGCGAAGGAGTTGCAAATCGCATCAGAACCTGAAGTTGTTGGTCCAAACATTGCTAAAAATCCCTTGCCTACACATGATGGTCCAACAATAAACATGACACTAAAAGATTCGAATGTTGAGAAAGACTCTCATAGAGGTCATGAGGTGACTGCACTTACCATTACCAATCAACTGTCATCAACTCATAGACAGCCTTTGATATTGAAGGGGCCAATTGTTGCAACGAGTGCGAGGAAGCCTTTCATTTTGAAAGGAAGCAACCAAGCCTTACCTTCTCAGCAACCACCCTTAACTCTTTATCCACCATCAAAACCAACCTTCAATTCTTATAAGGCTGTCCCTTGGAATTATGGGACTAGTACATGTGTTTCCATACAGGAATTTCCTGTTGAAGATATCGCTCTTATGACTAGAAGTGGGCGTAGTTACGGAGAAAGTCAGTGCAAAGGGAATGAATTGCAAAAAGGAATCATCATTGAGGAAATACATGAGGAGCAAGTCAAGAAGTATGTTTCAGAGCAGGAGATAAATGATTTCCTTAGCATTTTGAAGAGAAGTGAGTACAATGTGGTAGAGCAACTTAATCGTACTCCTGCTAAGATCTCTATCTTGCAACTCTTGCTGGCATAAGAGACTCACCGAAATGCTTTGTTAAAGATCTTGAATGAGGCTCATGTGCCAAAGGATATTGATATGGAAAAATTCAACAATGTGGTAGGGACTATCCTGGCACCAAATTTTATCAACTTTACTGATGATGAAATCCCTGAAGATGGAAGAGGGCATGTGAAAGCTCTTCATATTTCAGTGCTTTGCAAAGATATGCATGTGCCACGAGTGCTTATTGATAATGGTTCGGCGTTGAATGTTATTCCTCGATCAGTTTTGAACCAACTTCAGGTGGACCAGTCATACATTAAGCCTGGTAAGACAGTAGTTCGTGCTTTTGATGGCACAAGAAAAGAAGTAGATGGGGAGATTGAATTACCAGTCAACATTGGCCCATATACATTTGATATAACTTTTCAAGTTATGAATATTGAGCCTGCATTTAACATGTTGCTTGGAAGGCCTTGGATTCATATGGCTGGTGCAGTACCTTCTACTTTGCATCAAAAGCTGAAATATATTGTCGGCAACTCTTTGGTTACAGTGAATGGTGAAAAAGATTATGCTATCCATAAGGCAACATCTGTGCCATATGTAGAAGCAGACTCTCAAAGCCAAGAAGCAACTTACCACTCCATGGAGTTTGTCTCAACCACATATGTTGCGGAAGGCACAGTGTTGAGAACACCAGATCTTTCTAAAGTGAGTAAGGGAGTGGCTAAGGTGATGTTGGAAAATCATTTTGAAGTCGGAAAGGGCTTAGGAATTGGACTGCAAGGAATTGAGGAACCAATTGAGGTGATTGATACATCAATGGGGTTTGGCTTGGGATATAAGCCCACTCGGAAGGATTGGTTGTGGATGAAGACTAGGAAAGCTGAAAGGCGTCGAGCTAAGTCAGAAGGAAGAGAACCAAATGAGAAACAATTACATATTCCTCATATTCGGGTGACATTTCCAAAACCTGCTGAAGTTGTGTGTGGATATGACACAAAGCCAATGGATGAAACTCTCAAAAAGAAGAATTTGAAGGACGAAGTGATCATAGAGGAGGCATCAGATGATGAAGATATGGGAACTTTTGATTTGTTCAAATTTTTTGCTTCAACAAATGATGATGGTTTGAACACTTCTTTGGAGACGTTAAGCATATGTGTCATTGATGAAGGGAGGGATGATGACAAGGACATTCTGCCTGCTCAAGGTGAATCTTTGGACAACTGGACAGTAGAGATTCTTCCTGTTCCTATCATTAAATCGTAAGATGTGTCAATCTTCTTGTGGTTGAGCTTGTGACCATGAGAAGAGATGGTTAAAACAAGCCTTTTATATTTTATGAAGCATTGTAGGCATGACAAATAATGTTCCCATT